AATGTGTACGGTCCGTGATGAAACTCATGCACCACGCTGAGACGCTGATGTATAACCCCAACCCTAAGTTATCTGAGACCTGAACACACACAAAGACACTGGAGTAACAGTAGTAGTTGTTGGAGAGATCATATTTATAGAGTCATTAGAGAAATGGTACATCACGGAGAACTGAACATCATAACCTCCAGGGAGGTACTATTTTTTTTTTTTTTTTTGCAGGACTGTTGAATTGGATTTGTTTCATCCAGGTGTACCTAATAATAAACTGGCAACCAAGAGTATATTCCAGCTTTGTGTGGTAGCTATGGAGGCTTCTGTAGTTGACTGATTTCAACACCCTTGATGAATGTTGATAAGGCATTTTCAGCTTGAAGACCACTGTTAGTGTTGTGTTGGTTGGTATAATAAGAGGTACTTATGCTGGTTATTGTGTTGTCACAGACCAACCAGAGACAAAGAAGGTGGCCACAAATGATGGTAAGTGACTGGATGGCATAGCTGTAGTTGTAGTTTAATATGTGGCTGTAATTTTTTGCTAATTCTCTGCCTAAAGTAATTGGCCTAAAATGAGCATGAAATGGACATTTTGTGCATGGATTAAACAAACTGTAGTTGTAATGTCTATTTTTTTCTTCCTTACAGCGTTTTCAGCGATGGCGGGAATGGGCGGCCCCCCAAGGTAGATATTCAAGTTAAATCAAAATATGTTTGTCTTCCAGGTTTGGTCGCGTGTTTGTTATGAATCTAACCTTCATTTGTTCTGTTATTCTCAGGTCAATATCAGAGGAATTCAAGGTTCCTGATGGAATGGTTGGATTCAGTAAGTTTACACATGAAAACACTAAACCACCATAGCAGCACAACAGTGTTAATGAATATTTGGAGGTAACGCGCTCTTTTTCTACTAGTTATTGGAAGAGGAGGTGAACAGATATCGCGCCTGCAGCAGGAGTCTGGATGTAAAATACAGATTGCACCTGGTAAGTTAAGACTGTGGATGTCATTAATGCCCAGACATTTATAGTTTTGAGTTGTTGTACGGTGTATTAACTGCTTTTTCTTTGTGTTGTAGACAGTGGAGGGATGCCAGATAGGTCAGTGACATTAACAGGACCACCAGAGTCCATCCAGTAAGTTTCCTTCATTTAATGCCCCTCCTCTTGCAGTGAAAATCTTTTGTTGTGAATGGAATTCCAGCAACCATAGTGGGCATTAAAGTGTAAATATCCATCTGTTTTAATGGTAATTTCTCTTCTATCAGGACTGCAAAGAGGCTACTAACAGAGATAGTTGAGAAGGGGCGTCCGGCTCCAGCATTCAACCACAACGACGGCCCCGGAATGACTGTCCAGGAGATTATGGTCCCTGCCTCTAAAGCCGGACTCGTCATTGGGAAGGGAGGAGAAACTATCAAAAGCCTTCAGGTGAGTGTCCAGTCAGTGTTTGAGTAGTGCCCATAGGGACAGTCTTTTTGAGCAGGACAAACTCTGATGACATGCCTTTTGCTTCTTCCTTTTAACCTGCAGGAAAGAGCTGGAGTGAAGATGGTCATGATTCAAGACGGACCGCAAAACACAGGCGCAGACAAGCCACTCCGCATTTCAGGAGAACCCTTTAAAGTTCAGGTGGGTCCTTGTTCCTGTCAGGCTACAATACAGTAAGACGTACCTACTTGGAAAAGGGTTTAATTGTATATGAGCCAGCTCTGCTTTCACCCGCTGTCTAGAGTCAAAATGTCCTGTTACGTGCCTCGTTATTTGTCTCCATGGAGACCAGAGAAGTTGTGGTGTAATTAGATGTACTGTCTCTTCTCTTCAGCAAGCCAAAGAGATGGTAATGGAGCTCATCAGAGACCAGGGCTTCAGGGAGCAGAGGGGCGAGTATGGTTCACGAGTCGGAGGCGGCGGAGGAGGAGGTGGAGGAGGAGATAGCTTAGATGTGAGTATTAAGTAAGAAGTTTATCAGTTTGGAAACGAGGCTTTGAATCTGCTGCTTAACAGTTTTCTGTTTTTATTATTATTAGGTTCCTGTCCCCCGGTTCGCAGTAGGAATTGTGATTGGCAGAAATGGAGAGATGATCAAGAAAATTCAGAATGACACAGGCGTCAGGATTCAGTTTAAACCAGGTGAGTGATTAAGACTTATAAAAGGAACTGAGTAACTAATTTGGCCAATAGATGTGTAAAAATGTGTACGGTCCGTGATGAAACTCATGCACCACGCTGAGACGCTGATGTATAACCCCAACCCTAAGTTATCTGAGACCTGAGCACACACAAAGACTACAGTAACACAGTGGAGTAGTAGTTGGAGATACCATATTTTATTTATAGAGTCATGAGACAATGGTACATTTAAGTTTAATCCCATCAACAGAAACTCTTTATTTATCATATCTTTTCTCTCTTCAGATGATGGCAGCACACCAGACAGGATAGCACAGATCATGGGCCCCCCTGACCAGGCTCAGCACGCAGCAGAGATCATCTCTGATCTGCTGAGGAGTGTTCAGGCCGGCGGGCCTCCAGGACATGGTGGTGGCAGAGGCCGTGGTCGCGGGCAGGGGAACTGGAACATGGGCCCCCCTGGTGGCCTGCAGGAGTTTACCTTCACTGTCCCGACCATGAAGACCGGCCTCATCATTGGCAAAGGCAAGTGACCCCTCGACAGCAGGACTCTGTTACAAAGCTATGGCTCTTAAACAGAAGCCACTGAAGATCTTATCTGTGTGGAGTGAGCTTTTCTTTGCTTGTACTTACCTTTTCTCTTGTTTTGGAACTCTTCAGGTGGTGAGACAATCAAGGGCATCAGCCAGCAGTCTGGAGCCAGGATCGAGCTGCAGAGGAACCCTCCACCCAACGCCGATCCCAACATCAAGATGTTCACAGTTCGCGGCTCTCCGCAACAGATCGACTACGCCAGGCAGCTGGTGGAGGAGAAGATTGGGGTAAGAGACACTAAGAATTTAGGATAAAGGATATATGTTGAGACAATCTATAAGCTTGTTTACTGACCGTTGTGTGTTTGTGTTTTCAGGGTCCAGTCACGCCAATGGGTGGCCCACACGGTCCCCCTGGTCCACATGGAGGCCCAGGCCCACATGGTCCTCCTGGACCACCCGGACCCCCTGGGGCCCCCATGGGTCCATACAACCCTGGACCATACAACCAGGGACCTCCAGGACCACAGTAAGTTTAAAAGGCCACTGTGATGATGTGATATTTAGACACAGGTGAATGTGTGAAGTGAAACATGAAGTCATTTGGATGCAGCCAATAATGTGTACGGTCCGTGATGAAACTCATGCACCACGCTGAGAGACGCTGATGTATAACCCCAACCCTAAGTTATCTGAGACCTGAACACACACAAAGACTATAGAGTAACAGTGGAGTAGTAGTTGGAGAGATCATATTTATAGAGTCATTAGAGAAATGGTACATCACGGGAATCTTGAACATTTTCAACAAAATCTGAACATCAAAGCTGATTATTTCTTTTTCTTTCATCAGTGGTCCACCTGCACCGTACCAGCCTCAGGGATGGGGCAACGGCTACCCACACTGGCAACAGGGACAACCTGATCCAAGTGAGTATCTGCTATAGCTGGACATCTAGTACATCTGATGTTAAAGAGTTGTTCATTAAGCTCTTCATGGAGCGCCCTGGTAGCTGGCTCTGTGTACCAAAACTGAGTCTGTGCTGCAACGCCCGCAGGTTTGAATCCAACCTGTGGTCGTCCCTTCTTTCTCTCCCTTTCCTGTCTGTCCTGAGCTGTCCTATCATTACAGGCAAAATCCCCTACAACTCACATCAGATTATCTAATGGGCCGCTTACTGTATGTTTACAGCTTAACCTTCTGCTTGGTAATAAAACCCGATTGTTGTTTGTACAGATAAAGCCGCAGCCGATGCCAACGCGGCAGCGTGGGCAGCATACTATGCGCAGTACAGCCAGCAGCCGCAGGCTCCCATGACCCCGACAAGTGGAGCTCCAGGCACAACTCAAACCAACGGCCAAGGTAACTGAAGCGTTTTCTCAATTAGGGAAAAAGAGTCTGTGCTTCTAGAAGAGGCAGAAAGTGTTTAGACGAGTGTAGAGCAGCGTAGCTTTACTATGGTAGTGCCCCCCCCCGCTCATGTCTTCCTGCTGTCGCTAACAGGAGACGAGTTGGTTTCATCTCTTAAATGACTTTGCTTTTGCAGAGCACCTTTTCTTTTCTTTGTTAACTTTTTTTTTTTATGTTACCCCAAGGGACAGGTTAGTTTCCCTCCACTATCCCTAGGCTGACAGCTCGATCCAGGCAGGTGGAGGACGAACTGCTGAGAATGATTCACTAATTACAAGTACCGTGTTTTTTTAACAGGTGACCCACAGGCTGCAGGTCAGAGTGGACAGGCAGATTACTCCAAGGCCTGGGAGGAATATTACAAGAAAATGGGTATACGAACGTAGCTTCAGTGTACACCTATTAACACAAGACAGTCTAAACAGCCACTGGGCATTCAATCGGCTTCTTTTCCAGGTCTGGGTATTTTGCTGCTGGCCTGCGGTGGGGCGTTTTCAGTGTGCCTCCACTTGGTTTAACATTTGACGCCTGTGCTGTTTAGACTGCAACACTTTTGACTATCTACAGGACTGAGCTGTCGATACAGAACCACCTTTATATGAGCTTAGAGTAGTTTATTTACCAGACTATCTTTAGGGTTTTTATCAACACTGATGGGAGAGTTTTCCCATGTGCCATGAATGTGTGTGTAGAGTTAAATGATGCAATGTAGGATCAATGTTGTGCATTTGTTTCAGTTTTTATTCAACGCTCGGATGCATTGACACATTTTTATCCCTTCTCCTTGTAGGTCAACAAAGTCAACAACCTCAGGACTACACGAAAGCCTGGGAGGAGTATTATAAGAAACAAGGTTAGTCACTTTATTTGAAGCATTTTACTCCCCATTCTAAGGTCTTAATGTTTGATTCAACTACTGTTAAAGATGCATGGACAGTGGTCACTTGTGTTTTCATCACAAACACAATCAGAAACCAGAGAATTGAACTTCCATTAAGGAATTAAAAGTGTGATGTTGGTGTTTTTAGAGTAAAGGTATGTGAGGCGTATGGGTGATCTGGACTATGAGAAGCTAAAAAATAATTGCATAAATAATGCACACAAAATAATTGTATTTAATATATTTTTATTAAATTCTTTGTAAAATACACATCACAGTAACATATGGTCGTGTTTAGAGTTTTTTCCTGTCCTGCCACTGTAATGGAACAGGTTAGATTTCCTGTATCTGTCTGCCTGAAGCTGTGTGAATGCAGCATAACTGGTTTCTCTACTTGGGAGGGAAACTCCGACTCTGAGCTATTGACAGTCTGTAGGTGTTTACGTAGAGTTTACTGCGATAGACGTACAGATGGAGAACTCTGTGGTCAACGACTAGCAATCAGGAAGTTGAAACTGCTGTTCATTCTTTACTATTTATGGAGTTGCCTGTCTAAAAAAAAAAAAGAACACCCACCCATTATATACAGTATGGATGTTGAATGTTGAAGGGCGGCTGTACTCCTATAGCAGCCCTCTGTACTAGAGTATCTGCTCTCCCAGCCGCCCAACAGAAAGGCAGAAGGTTTCTGACCCGCCACCCAGAGAGAGTGGTGCCGGGTTCGTTCCCCTTCCGACAAATCTAATCACCTCAAATTGAGTTGAAACTCAAAGAACTTGTCTGCAATGAAAAGAGAAACTGCTTCTTACCCCCTGGTTAATTAACTAACAACTATTGAGCCTTTACATAGGAGGAATCTGATAACCTCAAGCGTCCGGTGTACCAACGTGTCCTCTCTCGGTTTACCCCCCCCCCAGGTCAAGCGGCCCCTCAGGCCACAGCCGCAGCAGCCGCAGCGTCCCAGCCTGGAGGCCAGCCAGACTACAGCGCTGCCTGGGCGGAGTACTACCGTCAGCAGGCTGCTTATTACGGCACAGCCAACCCTCAGACGATGGGTGCAGCACCACAAGCCCCTCAGGTACACCCCCGATAAGAATCTGCCCTCCACATCACTGAATACTCAATTGTTTTGTGCCCTAACCCCCCTTCACTCCCCAGGTTTACAGGGCTCCAGTGACTGCAGCAGCCTCACAAACTTAACCAAAACGACTTCCTCCCTACACAGGTTTATAACTTTTTATTTTGGGAAGCTGAGTCTACTGTTTCTGCTGTTAACATGCAATGTATCTTCTATGTATTTTTTTGCACAGGGCCAGTAATGTGAAGTGGACATAAAGTAAATGCTACATTGTCGAAACAAAATCCTTTGTTAAATGTTTGGATGCAGACGCCTTGATGAAGATCTTATATTTCCTTGGTTTGAAAGTGTTTCACATAGATGGCAGATTACCCGGAGAACACGTCCTCTTTCTTTTTTTTGTTTTTCCTTTTCTTGTAAATGCTTTGTTTTTAGTGAGGTAATTATACATATGGTCATTCCAGCCCTGTATCTACATTAAATGTGGTTAGAACTCATGTTGATTAAACTGTAGACATTACCATGTAAATCATCTCAGTTTTAAAATGCTATTGCCTGTTGTGTTTTTGCAATAAAACAAACTGAAACCTCCTGTGTTGGTAAGTTGGGGTGGTTTAAAAACCAAAAGGGTTGAGATGAATTTCTGTATTTTTTTTTTTGTTGTTTTTTACGGGGGAGGGGAAAAAAACTTAAAAAAAAAAATGCAGGCCATGTGTGTGGGGAGGGGGGGGGTGGTTTAATTGTCCAAAAAGGTTGACTCAAAGTTGTGCTGTCCTGTCTCTCTCCAACTGTCTATAAGGCTCTTAGATACATTATGTGCGTGCAGTGATCCCGAGTGGTTCAGACCAACAAACGTCCTTGTTGATAGACATTTTTTTATACACTTGTTTCCTTGACATTGCTCTGACTGTAGCAGTAGACAGATGTTTGTCATAAGAAAGTCGACAGGTATCTATGTACCGTAACTCATGCATTAACTGCGTTGCTGTGGCGCTCCTTTTTTTTAAAATTTTGCCTGGTTTTGCTGACATTGTTGAGGTAGTATGCACTGTATTTTGCCTTGATATAGACACTTCCTCCTCCACAGGCAAGTTTAGAAAAGCGGTAAGCAAGTATTTTTCTTAACATGTTCCCCAACAAACGTGGTTGCAAGAAATGTTGCATATTTTTAGTGTTCTATAAACATATATATATTGTGCTGTTCTTTTTCCAGGACAGTCAGGTAAATTGTCACTGTATCGAAAAATGCATTGAAACGTTTGTCTTGCCCATCTTGAATTTGCGAACTAACTCACATGTATAAAGTTGTTTTTTTTTTTTTAAAAGAATGTTTTTTTAATATAAAAACATTGCAAAAAAACTCCTATTTTGCTGTGCCCATTCTGTTAGTGTTTATCCAATATAAGAACATAGATGTTGTAGGGTTCGGGGGTGGCTAAGCAGTCTTCATCCATCAGTTGAGCCCTCCTATACTGTAAGTACAAAACTGTGACTGACTTTGAGAGATACTCGCCTTTTTTTATGCTTTATAAAAACTGCAAAAGATGTAGTATTTTTGTCAAATATTTCTATTTCCCCCATGTCTCTGGGTAAGTATGAAATGTTCTGAGGAGAGGAATAGTACTTCTAGACTTTGATTCTTGTGCCACATGTTTCTGAGACTTATTTCCCCTTTTTGTGTGACTCCACTGACTTGCACAACATTCAGACTTTGAATATTTCACAGTATGTTGATACTAGATTGTTTGTGTAGGTAGCATTTTCAGTGCCAGTTGGGATTTTCTGAACTGAGGGTTTGAATGTCAGCACTCTTACACTGTCGGTAGGAACTGTTTTTAAGGATGTCCATGTGGGGGTTTTTTACCTTGCGTTTTCTTTGCTAAGTGCCATTGTCTAGCTGAGACTGTCATGTTTTTTTCTTATATGCCATTTATTGCAACATATTGCTTTAGAAAAGTCCTACTGCATAACTCCAGTGTAGCATGCTTAGGTTTTCTGCTATTATTACTTTAATCTCCTATATGAGCATGTGGAATGCTTGTAGTGGATTTGCTGACTGACTAGTTCAGTATTGATTATGACATTTTCTGAATGAGCACTGTTGTTGAAAGGCTGTTAATTTTAAGGTCAACGATAAAAAAAGAGAAACAATCTTTTTGACTGCATTGTTCACTGATGGCAAACAGTGCAATATATATATATATCTGATCTTTGCAGTGTCATCCCAGACCTTGCACCTTAGGTTCTGCTGCAATAACACAGGTAAGCGAAACCTAAGGAAACCAGTGTTTTTGTCCAGTGACATTACAAATATATTACATGCAAAGAAATGCTTACCTGTGTCTCTTTATAACATGCCTCAATGCATTTATGCCTAGTCGTACAGAAATGTCCAGGATATCATACGTATGAACAGCCCTTTATTTTTTAAAAAGATTGATCTGCTTTCATGAATGATCTGCATGATATGAGCTGTATGACTTTGTTACATGAAGTATGACTTTTCAAAAAAAGTGACTTTACCCAGAAATAAGTTGTTGCATAGGCTCACTGAGGAAATGTTGTCATTGTCGTATGTGCTTAATATTTGATACTAGCCTTATCTTTGCATCCCGGTAAGTCTTGACAGTGACTGTGTATCGATGCTTTAAGCCCACTTTGACACTGGTATATTAAAACTGCATGCCATGCAAACCTGTTGTCAGACGTTAGCAATGTGCTCAACCGCTTGGTCAAAAAAACGGTGAAAAATACATGATTTTATTTTTTCATTTTTAAATTTCTCTGTCGTGGTGTGAATCTGCCCTCAAGTGCAGTGCAAATCTATTGAAACGCTGCTGCCTTCACTTCTCGCTCACAGTGTTGGAGGATGCTGCAAGCTTAGGTCATAGAATCAGGCCCTGTCGTAGTTTGTCCCCAAAAGGAGGAATCCTTTGAGTCAATCCCACTGCTGAACGTAGACCGTTCAAGAGCTCCAGTGATAAGGTAAAAAAAACAAAACAGCAACGCAATGAAATTTAACTTATGTGATTGCAAAAGTGTTGGTCAGATAAATGTTTTTCAGCTCGGATAGACTGTTGTTTTTCTTTAAACATGATGCCATAGTGTATTTTTTAGAGTTGTCTGATGGTTGTTTTTATTGCTTCAATGCCTTCATCAGTAACATTTAGTCAGTAGGAATGTGCTTTAGAAAGTTGGATGAGGACAGGAACTAATGTACTTTTCAATTACATATGCACTTTTATTGGCAGTAAATTTGGGGTTTTTCACTTTTAAAAAGAATCACTTCTCTGTAGTTAGTTACGTATTGTTTGAGGCTGTTCACGCTGTACATGTGAAATGCTCAGTGTTTCAACACAGAGTTCGTGGGGGTGTAGAAGACAAAACAAGGAGCATGCCTTAGAGGTAAAAAAGGTTTCATGTGATGTGTATGTTATCAGATCTCTTGGTTTGTTTTTTGAATCTGTTCTGACTTTTAAAAATGTTGCCATGTTCATTAATAAAGTTGTAACAAATAAACTGGACTAATTAACATGAGTTTTATTTTAAATTAGAGAATAAACTTTAAGTCAATCAGAACTGGATTTAAAGAAGTTAAAAAAGAAACCATCAAACACATTCAGTCTTTTATTTGCTTAATTTATACACAATGAATTCACAAATGTAAAAAAAAGAAAATATTATCTTCCCAGTGTTGCCAAAATGAGAGCAATCAAATAGTTTCACATATTTTACAAGTCTGTCTTACAACAATATACTCATAAGTACATGTCTCTGAATACAGGTCCTGAAAAGATCCTTATGTGATTCAAATTTAAGAAATGGGGGGGGTCCATCAAAAAATAAGTTGACAAATCAAATGTTATAATACTCACTGCAATTTGGTGAGGAAACAAAGCAACTAACAATCTCTCCATTAATTATTTTCTCAATCCTTTGTTGCACTGGTTGTCGAATCTCTTTAAATTCATGTAATTTAATAATGTGTCAGTATCAGCCTGCTATGTGCTCATGTATGTAGCACCTGCACATGTCCATTATTAGTTACGAGCTAAAGTGTGATGGCCACATAATAAGAGGCAGTAAAATGACCAGTTATAAATGTGCAATCGGGGCTCCAAACAACCTATTTGGAAGACCAGTGTGGAACAGGAGTACCCCATTTCTACCGAAGTATCTCTGATCCTTCAACTGATCAGGGTCAGCCTAATGCTACTGTGTTATAACAATATAATGGAGAGCCTAATCATTCCTTTGGTTGTATGCGGTGTAAAACGTTTGAGAAACACTGGTGTATACTGTCTTCAGAAGACCAGAAATCAACAAGTTATAACCAGTGAGTTAGCAACTTTGACTGTTGTAGCCTCGTATTTACAGAATGAGGACTGGATTTTGTCCCCCCCACTTAAATTGGAATCACTTTAGGAAGATTTCAACGTACATCTGAGCCTCACAAAATATGCAAAACTATCTTTTAAGAGGAACAACCTGCAGCCGACAATCCCTCCTAAAGTAGTTACCTAACATTTAGAAATCAACTCCTCTTTAACAGGTTTGTTCCTGCAGTAGCTCGACTGCTCAGACCTTTCATGTTGTGCATGTCCTGTACATGGCAGTGACCGATCGGTGGAGCAGACTGTTTCAGTGATGAAGACGAGGCTCGAACATGTGCAGTGACAATAAGGCTTCTTGCGTATTTTGCCCCGTCGTGAAAAAACAAACTGTGGCACAAATAGTTTTAACAGCTTTAGCGTTAAGCAACAGTGATGTATAATCTTCTATTTCCTGTAGTTGGTGGTGTGATGAGATTAAAGGGCCTTGGAGGCTGCATGAGCCGGGCTTCGTTTAAATATCGCAGGAAGGTTTGTAAGTGCCAAAAAACTACTTTCCCTTTTCAGTAAGTCACGAGAAAGTCTGACGATTACTCCAGTCAACATCTTTTACATTTAAATCCCGTTCTATGACTTCTCTGTAACAAAAACACATGTAATGGTTCTGCATTGCTGATGTAGAAATACATCTAATAAATCTCTTATTTGATAAAAGGTTATTGTATTCGTACTATATGTTTGAAGCTGATCACAAATCCACTGATGCATACATTTAAAACTACAGCGTCTAAAAAATAAATCCTGCATCATTTAGCTGTATAGTAAAATAAATACTGTAAAATACCTTCTTTTACACACAGATTGCTCTTAACAGCAATAAATATGCTTTAATTTACACAGCATAGTATCTACTGCAAGAGTTTAAATTACAATTATTATTGCTATGATGTTTTAAAATCGTGCACTGCCATGGCACAGTGAAAAGGGGGCTGGGGGTAAAGGCAGGTACGTTTTATATGAATCCTCGGGTACACGGCGATGAGAGCAGAGCATGATGGGAGAGGTGGTGAGTTTTGTGCACCAGGTGGGTGGAAGATCGAGTCATTCAGACCTACAGACCTACCTACTCAGTCTTCTTTGGTCCGACAGTTTGTGTCAACTCACCCTAACATAAAAGCTGAGATTTCCGTCTGTGTATAGTGTTTGGTGACCCTCCCTCCCCTCCGGGTCTGTTTGGGGGGGTTTGCAGTCTCTCACTGCACTCGGGCCTCCAGCAGGGCGCTGGGCACCAGCTGTACCTGCGGGGGATTGCAGCTGTTGACGTGCCGCAGGGAGTCGGCTCCCAGGTAGGCCAGCAGCAGTTCGGAGCGGCGATGCAGCAGGTGGAGCATGTCCTCTGCTAGACTCTCCACAGAGCAGTAACGCACCTTGTCCAGGTCGAAAATATCCTTTAGGAAGTGCAGCACCTGATCCTGAAGGACAAGAACGACTTTTGAGAACACTTGTAAGAGAGGAACACCTTAATATATTTATCTACAGCAGATACTTGGTTTTATGTTCTTTGAGATTTATGTTCTGGGATGTTTATCCCCTTCAGGGTTAGTAGTTTACTGGCAGTAACTGGATCACATCACTCCTGTTTTACACTGGCTCCCAGCAGGTTTTAGAGCAGATTTTAAGGTTTTACTGGTTTTACTGTTAATGCTCTCCACCCTATTAGTCGTACACACCGGCTCATACTTTCAGATCCTCGGGCAAAGGTCTTTTGTCTATTCCAGAGAATATTTTCAGAATGGCTGAAAACCAAAGGGGGACGGAGCGTTTGCTGTCAGGACCCCTGAGGCTCCAGAACAATCTGCCTGAAGAATTAGTCCCTTCTTAAAACACTTTTTCAAAATATTTTTCTTGTTTTATCAGACTTAAATTTTCCTTTAAAACGGTAACTTAAGAAGTATCAAAAAGGGAACAACAAAAGTAAAGCTCCTATTTAGACAAGGGCACTGACAGATATAATGCTGGGATCTCGTCATTTTCTGGTGCTGAGGCTGACCTTGAAGAAGCAGCAGAAGTCATGCAGGGAGCTCTTGGGCCCCAGGAAGCCCCAGGCCAGAACGGGGCTGATCTGTTCACACACAGCGTAGAAATGGGCGATGAAGCCGTCAGGAACCTGAGACACAGCAGAGGGAATGTGAGTGAATAACACAAAGTGTTTTCCCCCGGAGATGAAGGTGTCGCATAAGAAGTGAAGCAGTGAGACTGATGACTTGAAGTGGTTGTACCTTCATGTGCTGTCTCTTCTGCTTCATTACTGACCAACAGCTAGATGCCACCGCCTGTGAAATACATGAAGGTTAAACATCTATGAAAAGCCCAAATAGTCAAAACAAGGACCATGTCAGGACATTTTCCAGGTGTTTTCTTGTCAATACAGGACAGAACTTGCTCACAAACAGTCATAAATTACTGACACGCCTAGTATTTACGAATTTTTTCCCTGTTCTTTACAGGTAGGTGGTAGTTTTCCTCTAACCCAGGTTTACGTAGGTCATCTGAAACCTGACCTTTCTCCACAATATTTGGTTATTTTAATCAATTTCCAGGTGTTCATGACTGGAAAACTAGTCTCTAAATATCCACGTTTTCCAGGACATGTGGGAACTCTGCATCTACACATTGTTGGCTTTAAGGTTTTAGTATTAGTTGTTCTGTAAAATGTCTATTTCTGTTTCATAATGAAGTTATTGTGGTATAATCATGTAAGTAGCACAACATAAAGAAAGCGTTAAGCCAGTAATCCATCAGTAGCCAAGAGAAATGCTCTAAAATCTGAGTATTTAATGAGTTCACTCACCGTCTCCTTGAAGGAGCTGTTGAGCCAGCGGTTGTTGATCACATTCTGGATGGAGATTGGTGGATTCTCCAGATCCTCAAACGAGTCCATCAGGATGAAGTCCAGCACTATGTCATAGAAGTTCAAGTGCTTCACCTGGAGAGGACGAGTATAAGACGTTATTGTTTGGTACCATTTTGTGATCAGACAGCAGAAGTCAGACATTATACAGTAGAGAAGTTTAATTATTATTATTATTCACCCCTCTGGTTGCCAGCTCCACTTCTGTGTTTTCCCAGTGCTCTGTGTGATCCAGGAAGGTAATCATCTCCTCAAACACCTCCTCGAATCTCGCTGGGTTCTGAAAACCAAACATCACCAGTTAGGAAGGGGAAGCACTCATTGAAGCTGCGTGTTATCATCCACCGGTCGTGGCTTCGGTCTTACCTTCTGTGCTTTAACGATAATGGAAGACAGGATTTTCTTTCCCGTGTCGGCCAGAAACATCCTGGTCGTTCTCTCACACAAAATGAGCTGGAGAACAAAAACATTTTACTCACGTGGAATCTTTCTCACAGAATACGTGATACACACAGTGGCTTTAAGTTGAGGGAGTTTAATGGTTCCTGCTGAGGTCCTGTTAGCATGTATTTTCTTTAGTAGGGTAGAATAAAAAGATAAAAGCAGTAAAAATATGCAGATACATCCAGAGTCTGCACTACATAGAGACAAAGGAGACTGTAGGTTGTACTGTACCTGACATGCCTGCCGCACACAGTGCAACTTGGCCAGGAAGTCTAAGTCCCCGTGACACTCCAGCAACTCAGTCCTGACAATGAAAACCAAGATTGACAAATGCAAGCTATTAGATACAATGTGGTTAATGAAGGAACGTCAGACAGCTTGTTCCAGTAATGTAGGCTCTCTGTATTTCACGGGTGTCATTACTCATTAGTATAATTACCGCAGCACCCTGCAGGAGATCTTTCCATCCTCGGCCATCTGCAGCGCCTCCTCGTAGAAAGGGTGATGACCCAGAGCGAAGGCACTCCTCAGCTCTCTCTGCTCTGACAGCTGGTACAGAAGCAGACAGCACAGCGAGTTATTATTGACTCAATAATGATCATTTTAATCCCGTTCCTGTCAGAGAAAATAATCCTGAAATGAGACGCAGCCTTCGAGTGTCTTTCCACAGCAAAAGAAAGTCATGCTTCTTATTCATAAAGCAGTACGTCCTTCCTGAGTCCTCCTGTGATTCTTGAACATCCCTGCAAGAACTGACACCAAAACCTTTGGAGAAGTAGAGGTTTATGCATCCAAAAAAACCTCTTTAACAGGTGCTTGAGCAGGAAATATCACTGTTTCTGTATTTTCTTCTGACAGTTAAACCGGGCATAATGTTTAAGACAATAGAAAGAAAAGCTGCTTGTAAAGTTCCTCTGTATTGTAATCAAGGTGACTGATGCAGAAAGGCTGAACCTGAAGTTTCTTTGTAAAACAAATGCAGGTTCACCATATCCTGGATTACACAGCTACTTCTTAAGCCGCTATTAGTTATTGAACCGTGTAAGGAGAAATAAGAACGCCACTCCATATAGCGACATGAGCTGCAGAGAAACAGCGAGCTGTATGTTGTATAATGGAGAATGTCGAAGGTCTATTTATAGTGACTCACTAAGTGTGACTGACCCAGTTTGACTGCTATGCTGCTGCCTGTTTCATTTACTGGTCTGTACACGTTAAACAGGTTGCAGAGTATAAATACCTCCATTTAAAAAGCCTTTTTCCCTTCTAAAAGACTTAACCGGTAGGTGCTAGACCAAGAAGGTTTAATAGCTTAACTGCTATTTACATCAATGTTGTGTACTGTGCATGTTAACACCCTACCCTGGAAGAGAGATACAGCACCTTTAGCTCTCAGCAGGTGGCGATATAACGCCTTTATCTGAACCTTTCACCTTCGTTTCAAGATAGCATGTTGTAGAAAGTGAGATTTCCAGGTGATTTATCATAAAGAGAGTCATGGTGCGATATAAATACTGTGAACGATCAATCCGCAGAGAAATGCTCTCAGCTTGAATTCAGAAACTGTGCCTTTAAACGAGCTGTCAAGACGTCTGTAATGTTGTGATATAAAAACGCTCATATCACCGCCCTCCTGGCTCACCTGGACCCCCACCGTCCAGGTAGAGTACAATCCGTTATCTGGGGCTCAGCCAATCAGAAGAGAGGCTTATTAATGTTAATGAGAGAAAACGCAACAAATAAACACCTGTTCTTGCTAGAGATCCAGAGGAAACTAAAATAAAACTATATTTTAGTGCTTAAAACCACAGATATATCTCTTTATGGATACCAAAACTTCAAATAAAACTCTGGAAAAGTGTAACATACAGGAGGAATTAAGCTTTAACGTCGGTAAACAAATCAGTCATTCTTAACAACCAGTTTTAGTTCTTTGTGGGTCAAGTGCACCAGTGGCACCGGATACACAGCTCACACACCGACTTAATGAGTGAAGGCGATAAGCAGGGCACTGGTAAACACCGGGTGGTGAACTTACAGGAAGATCAAAGCTATTTGAAACAAACTCCTGCTGTGAACTGGTTAAGATTGGATGCTTCAGATGGTTTGAGACTTAAGACGTTCCCTTACTGCCACTCATGGGCTCACCTGTGGGATTACGGAGCACCTTATTTATTACACCACTGTTCACTGCACTTCTAAAGACGCTACCGTAGATCTACAGTAAGTCTGTGGTCTGTATGTCATCGGTCAACGATCTACTAATGATAATTGATGTTTTGTGTCCCAATTTCACTTGTAAAAACATATCGCACTGTATGTCACCTCATGTTTTGTTTAAAATATACAATAATATTCATAATAACGCAGTGCTGTGGTTAGTTTAAGACAGATAATAATAAGATATTATCTCCTGTTACTGTAAAGTGTTCTGTTTTATATTACAGAAGCTTCTGAAACTCTACTTTACACTGGTCAGGGCACAAGCTGTGGTTTCTTGTTGGAGTTTTACATACTTTACTTTAATAATGTCTATTTGTACATAGTTGATGGAAACATATTCTATTCCAGTTTCTAGTCTGTTTTCAGTAACTCAAAATGAAATAAACTATGCTGATTCAAAGAAATGTATGACTTGTGTTCATCATTAGTTCAGTATTCAGTATTTTTTATTATTATTGCCATCAAATGTTTGGTTTAGTGATTGTTTCTCTAAAGGGTTCCCTGGAAAATCTGGAAATTTAGAGACTAGTTTTCCCGCCATGGAAACATCTGGAAATTGATTAAAATAACCAAACATCCTGGAAATGAACTGTGTTGGCCTGGAACATTTTAATTGTATTTCAGCCTCTCATTCAGATTACATAAACCTGGGTGCCTGTTTTGTTTGAAACTCAACTGTTGGCACAATGACACTTTAAAGCAGCTTTACCAACTCAAACCAGAAATGAAAAATGCTCCTTTTTGCCGAGCTTCTCACACCACCTGCAGCAGACCTGGGTGTAAAGTCTATTTTGGAAATGCTGCACACATCTACATACAAACAGCCTATTAATTATGATCAAATTTATTTGTTGTAATTGTAAAATGTACATTCAACGAACACTTTCTACCTCTTCTTGCAATAGTTTAATAGGTGAGAAGATTAATTTTCTGGAAAATAAAATAAATTCTCTTTGATTTGAGCTGTTATTTATGGGCTCTGGTTAAATTAATGTTATTGGAGGAACAGTGCACCATGAAAGCGAGCTAACGTGGAGTGTGAGCAAGTGCTGTCCTGTATTTTCTAAGAAAAACTACTTTAAAATGTCCTGGAATATTCCTGGATAATGATTGAAGATAGATAGAATAATGATGAAGAGTGGGAACCCTGAGTTTGAGAGGATGTTCTTTGTTGTGATTCAAGCATATAAAGAATCGTTGATGAATAAAAACTGCTAGTTTGTTCTGTATTTTGGGAGGAAGTTAGAGAAAATCTTTATTTTTTTTTACAGCATTACAAGGCGAGTGCCTCTCTCACCTCAGCAGCAGACACAAATGAGTCAGTGGAGGCGATGCTCATGCTGTCCCTCAGACAGACGTCGTCCAGCTCGTCTCTGGCCAAAATATCTGTCATCTTATCTGTGATGAAGAATAACCAATGTATTGCATAATAAGTGTATTGTATCTGGTAAACACATTATGAGACCCTGTGTTTATCATGGAAATTACATAATATTGTGTATAATCAGTGACTCACCCTGGCTGTTGCTGTGGGATGAAGGCTCTGACACGCACAGCACTCCCTCGAACTCCTCCTGGAGGCTGTAAGCTCTCTGCAGCAGAGACTTCAGCCTGTGGATGAACTCTGCACTGATGGCGTCCTGAACACAAAAACATTCAGGTTGAAATATGACTCATAAAGCCCTGCAGTAGCGACAGGGTGCCGGGTCGCAATGAAAATAAATGAACTGACCCTGGAAATGTTTTGTTAGTCTACCAATTAGTAAATGTTCAATAATGTCACTTGGCTGACACTTAATTTCTGTTGGTTCAGGTACAGCTGACCTTCGTGGGGCTGCTGACACTGGATTTATCATTTGGTAAAGACGAGGGAGGACAGAAAATGTCTAAAGGGTGACATTCCAATTATATGAAAACTGGAGGGATTAATTTACCGTTATTTTGCCACCTAATACTGATCCTAAACCGCTGTGTTTAATTTGCCAAAATGACAATGGCTGTATGCAAGGTGGATAATATCAGTCGCCCTCATGTATCAAAACATGCTAGCTTCAGTGTAGTGCTACACGATATGATACAAAAATCTGATTAAGAATTCAAACATGGCGATTATTTTGACGGATATTGCCATCACGATATGATTTATGATTAGAGGCAATGGTCATTTTTGCGTCTTTGCAGTACTACAATACTTCCTTATAGTTCATTATGTTCTGTCACACATTAAATTTGGATTTGAATATTGCACTTTGTTTACAACTTATCTTGCCACATTAAAGATCTTAAGGCACAAGTGGCCCCCTGTGCAAAGCAAGTCGAGTATCCCTGCCCTAAAGACTACCATAATAATAAACTAATTCAAGTGAAATGACCTATAGAGAGTGAAAAGTGCCAGCTGGGGGAAAGGTAAACTTAAACAATGTTTTAGATTTTACTCAGAATATATCTTTAAGTTGTCTCTTGAGAATCCCCCATGACTGGATTTTAATAAACTTTCTAAAGAGGCACACCTGAGTCCTTCACAGAAGTCTGGACATTTGTTTGGGTTCCCAACGCAACCCTTTGACCTGCATTAATCCAAAACCCTTCCAACCAGGTTAGAGAGCCAGTGAGTTAGCCGTTATACAATCCAAACTCTGTGACAACAGTGGGTTGTCAGAGTGCTGGTTATTCATATATGTGACCTATAGTGCAGTGTTTGTGGGCAGTTTATTCCTACACAGACACACACTGTACTCTTATACACAGACGAGAGAACAGAAAATGTTGGCAGGACTTGAATCAATACACCAACACTTTGGTCCTGGCTGAGGTAGAAGCTGCCAATTGTTTTATTTATTCGACTCTGCATAAAACTGTTTATCGGGAGGCATTTTAGAAGAAAAGATAGTGTCCAAGCTGTGCCACTGAAAAGGAATTTATATCTCTAAATGATAAGTGTGTCTCTGTGTGTGTGTTCACCTCCATTTCCTGCTCAGCGATGGCGTCTCCGGCTCCAGTTTTGACAGATGCACAGCTGGCATCGTCCTCACCCTGTCTGCTCCTGAATGTCAAAGCCTCCTCCCACCGCCTGAGAGCCTCTTCAAATAAATCCATACCTGCATGCACACACGAACCACGAATAACTCAAAACGCTTCATTTTTCAAGAAGTTCAAAGGGTATAACTGAATTCTTCCATTATTTCATCACATTTATAATATGTGGTTTATTCCTCTTTTTGTAGACAGCGAGCAGACACAGTATGCAGCTTTATTTACCCATAAGGTAAAGGTTTTCAGGTGTGGTGACGGGTAAGTTGACCAAACTGCAGATATCTGCTTCCGCTGCTCTGTCCCAACAGCTGGATTCATTAGCACAGGTGCTGCTGCTGGATGAGTTCATGCTTTTTACCTGCAAAGACACAGCAGAAGAACACAGTTAAAAGTAGTGAAAGCAGAGGCTCATCACAAACACAAAGCAGTTCAAACCAACTCAACTCAGCATGTTCAGTGTGTTTTCACTACTGAGTGTATTGACGTAGGTCTACACAATGTTCAAATTGGTTTACTCATTAGTTTGGAAAACGGTGGAAATATTTCTGCCAATCACATCTTCAATCTTTACTTTCACTGGTTTGCATATATGAACCACAAGGTACAAAATGCAACAAAGTGAACTTCTCTATCCTGTTTTTGACATAGGAAAGCATCATCTTTGTATGTCCCTTGTAATTTAAATCTACTACAAGGAGTTTTTGAGTCTCAATTTAACACTTCTGCCTCTATATTTCCTACATACGCATATGAGACCATCAGTGAGAAGACTCTTTTCTATAGTCACCACTTTTGTCAACAGGAGCTGCCAGAATCAGCACAAAATGAAAGTTCTGGATTTTGATATTTTTAGATAAGAAAATAAAAAACAGAGTAGTTCTTCTTTATCTTACCGAGGCCAGGCTCAGCAGAGACCCAGACAGTTTTTTATAGTCTCTCGTGGTGAGAACGAGACCAGAGGAGTAGCCATTTTTGGAGTTGAGGGAGAGAGTGATGTTCTGACTGGTGTTATCTGAGTGGACAAAAATGGAAGATCAGAATACAGTGAACACGCTTGCATGAGCATGTAGCAGCATTATAAAATACATAAACCATGTTTGCCAATTACCATAATACCACAATGTGTAAGTAACCCTCTCCTGGGAAATGTTCTATAGTTGCTGTTTGAATCACTTCCGTCCTGTTTTAATAACTGACTTTCTGGCTCACCTGCTGCCGAGTGCTGGTGTGTAAAAACATCGTCTTCAGCTCAGACTAAACCTAAAACTAAACCTCACACACAGATTGTAGAGATTTACTTTGATTTAGTCAGAGAGTGTACAGGAGCCAGCCGGGAGTAAAGTTACTGGTCACTCAGGCAGCAGGACTCCCAGCACTCTTGTCTTTCTGAATATTGACTCCCCAAAACCTCCGTTATTAAATCAAATATTCATGAACCACAATCACAAGTGTTAGATTAACTGATGTTCACATATACAGAAACAGAGGTGATCAATGTTGTCCTTATATGAAGCTGTCAAAAGTTAAGTTAAGTTAAAGTTATTAAATCTGAGCTTTAATTGCCCTGGCCGACTCTGCATTTGACTCCATTTAATCCTGCATTTCTGTTCACTTCTCTTTGGGACTCTAATCAGAGGCAAATCTTCTTAAATGAGATTAAATGAGTTAAAGAATTCATCTGGAACCTGCTGTTTAAGGTAATACAGGAGCACGCTTAAGCCTGAAGCCCAGAAATGGAGATCACAGAAAAAAATATCACAGTGTCGGTAGGTTTTACCGTTGTCTGCTGCGGCCGGGGAGAAAAACTCAAAGCCAGCCTGCTCCCACTGAGGAGAGAGCCCCTTCTTTCTGCCCTTCCTCCTCTGGAAGCGGCGCGCAAGGAGGAGGAGCGAGACGGCACCGAAGGCGGTGGCGGCCACCAGCTTCTTGGTGCCTGTGCTGACACTCACCTGCAGGACAGGTAGAGGGAGAAAGACTTGTAAGTTAAATGTTTATGCAGCTTGAAAAGAAGCCTGAGAAGCAATTTGGTTTGGAAAATCTGACCAAAACTAAAGCTCATGTTTCTAAGTAGCTTCACATCTTGTTATTAAATGATCACACCTTTTTTCTGACTGGGAGTAAACAGAAATCCCCCAAACATACCTGGTTTGTGAAATGATAGCAGTTACATGTAAACAGACTGGGAAAGAAGATAGTCTTGCATCTTGTCATTACAACTGGGTACCAAATCTCTTTTTTGTGATCAAATTTTTATTGATAATACTTCTTAATGTAACTAACTTAATGACTTCTATCCAAAAGGCTGCCCCAACTACAACAATATTACCTCCAATAGCGCCTTAATGCTTCTAACAGCATGAACTAAAACATTGATATGTTTGTTTTGCACCGTGGGACCTTCAATAAAGTGTTCCAGAAAAGTAAGTAACCACTGTTGTCTCTGCAAAGAACTGGGTACTGGATCTCAATACCAACCAACATGTGTCCATAGCAAGTATTGAACACTCACTTATCTATTAAAGAAGCTTGGCTCATTCTGTTAAATATATATTTTAACTGAATCACCACAGAGAAGAAGGATTGTGAGTAATGTTTTGGGAAATGTAGAAACTGGCTAGATAAAGTAGTAAAATAGACTGAACGTTAACAACAGAGGACGACAGCAGCTATACAGTCTAACAGTGGGTAATAATTATCACAGATGACAAAAGTCGGAAAGGTCGGATTCATCCTTCACATTTTGCAACAGAGATTATGGTATGGATGATATGATTATCATATCACCGCACAAAGGGTGGGAGAAAAAACAACAACAGAAGAAAATACACACAAGCACAACACCTAAAAGACACTTCCTGTCAGATCAGAGTTCATCTGAGGATACATATCTGAAACTGACACACTGGATATTGATTATGTAACAAGCAGCGTTGAGAATCAGCTCACCCGCCTGTCATCTAGATTTGAAAGAATCCATTTCAGATAAGCGCACAGCCCCCCCCCCCCC